GTCTCGCTCTGTCTCTTCTTGTCTCGTCTCTGTATCTCGTCTCTGTCTCGTCTTGTCTCGTGCTTGTCTCGTCTCTTGTCTCGTCTCTTGTCTGCCTCTGTCTCGTCTCTTGTTCCGTCTCGTCTCGTCTTGTCTCGCTCTTGCTCGTCTCTTGTTCTCTCTTGTCCTCGTTCTCTGTTCGTCTCTTGTCTCGTCTCTTGTTCGTCTTGTTTCGTCTGTTCTCTCTCTTGTCTCGTCTCTGTCTGATTCCTCTGTTCGTCTCTTGTCTCGCTCTTGTCTCGTCTTGTCTCGTCTCTTTTCTCTTCTCTATGTCTCGTCCTGTCTCGCTCTGTCTCCGTCTCTGTCTCGTCTCTGTCCGTCGCTCTGTCTCGCTTCTCTGTCTCTTGCTCCTCTTGTTCTCCCTTCTGTCGCTACTCTGTCTTCGTCGTCTCCTCTTTCTGTCGTCTCCTCGTCATGTCCTCTTGTCTCGTCGTCTTCCTCTTGTCTCGTCGTCTCCTCTGTCTTCGCTCTTGTCCGTTCGGTCTCCTTGGTCTCGTCGTCTCCTTTGCTCATTCGTCTCCCTCTTCGTTCCTCTTGTCTCTGTCTCCTCTTGTCTCGCGTCTCTCTTGTTCTTCGTCTTTTCCTCGTTCTCGTGTCTCCTCTTGTTCGTCTCTCTCTTGCTCTCGCCCTCTTGTCTCGTCGATCTCCTCTTGTCTCGTCGCTCCTCTTGTCTCGTCTCTCTGTCTCGTCGTCTCCTTGTTCTCGTCGTCTTTGTCTCTTCGCTCCTCTTCTCGTGTCTCCTCTGTCTCGTCGTTCTCCTCTGTCTCGCGTCTCCTTTTCTCTTCGTCTCCTCTTTCTCGTCGTCTCCTCGTTCGTCGTCTCCGCTTGTCTCGGCGTCTCCTCTGTCTCGTCGCTCCTCTTGTTCGTCTCTCCTCTTGCTCCGTCTCCTCCTCCTGTCTCGTCTCTCCTCTGTCTCGTCGTCTCCTCTGGTCTCGTACGTCTCCTATGTGTCTCGTCGTCTCCTCTTGTCTCGTCGTCTCCTCTTGTCTCGTCGTCTCCTCTTGTCTCGTCGTCTCTCTCTGTCTCTCTCGATTGTTATTTAGGCTATCACTGAGTACCTTTAGTTCGGGCTAATTTTAATCATACACTCACATGCGTTCACTGAAACATGCAATGTGCCATTCCAGGAGCTCTGAGCTGTCTGGCATGGGCCATGCAAGTGCACAGTCTATGCGACTGATAGTCATGGCACAAAAAAATAGGTCACACTACTTTTAGGACAGACCTTTTAGTCAATAAATAAATAATTATGTGCAGTTTGCTACAATATTGTGTATTCAATTTTTTGTCTTGATGTTTGTATGTTGTAAATGTCAATTAATGGCATCTTATGATACTAATATTGCCTGGTTACCTATGTATAGTTTTTCTTCTTTTTTTTCTGGTCCTGCCTCATAGCGATACCTTCTATTTCTTTCTTGGGGATAATGTGCATCCATGTTGTAGTTCTATATTTGTTATTTCTTCTGCTTTTTTGCATCTGTATTTTGTGTTTTGATTTTTGAAACTTTTGTATACTCTTGCGTTTAGTAGATGGTCTTCTATATTCTCTTCTGTCAAGATTTTCTATAGAAGTTTGCTGTCTACCCTGCCCCCTGCTTTCTCATAGTCAATAAACAGAATGTAGGTTAATAAATTCTATTCACTTTTTATTATCTGGTCTAATGTAAATAATGAATCAATGGTTCTTCTCACTAATCTGAAGCCTCATTGTTCCTCTTCTATTATGTTTTTACCATATTCCATTAATTTTATTTTTTTAGGGTACTTGCATAGATTTTATATGCTCCCAGATACATTGTAATTCCTCTGTAATTCTCGCAGTTTTTCACTTCCTTTTTTGTATGCTCTTTACTAATCCTGTTTTTCGTTCCTTTGAAAATTGGTTGGTATTGTTAGTTCCTTCATGTATCATTCATTATTTGCAGTAATTAGTTTTCAAATTTCCTCCCTCCATATTGCAATAGTTCAATGTTGAAATGATCTGGGCCTGGGCATTCGTTTAATTCTTGCTGTTTTTAAGGCCTTCTTTTTATTTCTTCCTTTCCAATATGTGTTGGTGCAGTATTCTTGGTGTCATTTTTGTTTGGTTCAGTATCTCTCGTGTTGTTCTTGATTTGTCTTTAACTTCTGCATTTTGTTATTATAATGATTTATCTATTCACTGTTTACACTTCCATTCTTACAGACAGAGGTAAGTCTGGGTATCAACTGAGAACTTCAGTACTTCTGACAGAGGTCATTGGGTTTCAGTACTAACAGTGGCAGTATTAAGCTCTTAACAATAGTTTTTCCTGGTTTCTCCATTCAACACAAGGTGAATGCTAGATAAGCTCCCTAACAAATGGGGCCATGGACTGCACTAGATCTTGCTGTGCCTTTCCTTGTCATATCATCACCCCTTACTTACACAAGCACACATGTGCACATGCACACTACACAATTACTCTTGCCAGGTGGCCAGCCGGAAGCCTAGACCTTGAACATGGCTGGGGAGGTCCCCTGCCATTGAGAGATAACTGGTTCAGCCACTGTAGGTCAGCACCCTATCTCACCAGCCAGCAGAAGAATATCCTTGCCACCTCCCAAGATAAAACGTGCACTGTGCTTACAGGATGTTAGCATTTGATGCACCTAGAATCAGAAATCAATCAACTTTATTCATTGTTTACATTTAATGTCATTAGGATTTTTTTCTCTAACAAACAGTTTAAATTGTTCATGAACAGATTGAATATTCCTGTTACATTCAGAACAGCACATACATTATTGGGGCAAAGATATATTTATCGTTTCTGCAGCATTTTCTTTTCCGGAAACAGAAAAGAACAGAATAACCGGAAACAGAAAAGAATAGAAAATCGCCTTGCACCTTTGACGACAATGTTGCCACCTGCTCCATCAGCTTTATTGAAGTTTTGCAAATGCTCCCAAAAGTACAAAAGAGGTCAAAGAAGGCATGGATTAATGCCCGAACTCATCTCAACTACAAAAAGTTGTGACAATACAACAATCTTTTCTAAAAAATGACCTGAAGACCAATTACAAACTGGATCAAGACAAGATGAACCCACTGAACCTAATAAATAAGGCTCAGAAGTAAATGCTGTATCAAAAACAGAAATATGTATGCAGATATGCTCTAACATTTATAAAATATGAACCAAAACTAATGAAATGTGCTTTAATAATTAAGTTTTAGATATTAATGATTGATTACAAAACTTTTAATTAAAACAATTAATTTTGCTTTTTTTGTGTCTACTCAGTATTCCAGCGATAATTTTGGATGTAAAATATAATGATTTCATCTGTATCATTTTCTAAGTATCAATTCCAATCTCATAAATGCTTTATCAAAGAAATTATCACATCATTCATGATCAGATAAATCATTTCTGGATACTAGTGCCATAATATCATCTAAAAGTAGTTCAGACAAATACTGCTGTAACAAATGCTAGACATTCCCACGATTTCTCATGAATTGCATTCACATTCTCATTTGTGAAGCTAACTTTTTGGTTTCAGGAGACAAGTATGCATATCAAGTTAAATTTCCAGAGAAATATGCCCCCTTAAGAACAAAAAGCATTAAATATTAATAATAACTATATCAAAAATGATGCATTAACACAAAATGCACTCTTATGCTATATAAAATCACCAAATTTCTATTTGTTTGATTCTGTTTTGTTTCTGACATTGAGCTTTATTATATGCTACCTAATTATAAATATGATTTTTCATAAACTTCCGAGCCTTTCTAATCAACCAAAGGAAGAGGACCTATATTCTAAAAGATATTAGATAATCCCAATCATTAGAAACATAACATGAAATGTTGTTAATTTTGTCTTTTATTTCTTATAGGGACTTTATTTACGAAAAATATAGTTTTTGAATTATTTTGAAAAACTGAGTCATGATTTTTTTTTTTTTTTTTTTTTTTTTTTTTTTTTTTTTTTTCCTGTTTTTATTGCTTAAAAATATGTTTCAAGGTAAAATTCATGTTGGCACATTTGATTTTAATGGTCTGCAACTCAAAAAACATATAGAAACAATATTTCAAAATTACACAAAACCTTTGTTTTATTCTACTATTTTATTGAGTTAGTACGTAATTGAATACGTTATTTTGCTGTACTGCATAAACAATTGTTCTTGATTTGATAAAGATGACCAAGTTTTATCTAAATATTGAAGATCGTAAATTCCGAAAATTGAGAAATTGTATTGAATACTTGACATTGTATTTTTAGCAAACTTTTCCCTATTACCACCAGAAACAAAAGAAACATTTTTGTTGGGGAAATTTTAAAATCCAAAATTAACATTGTGAAGTTGTCTCGTGTTTCGATATTGAAAGCAAAATATCCATTTTGTCAAAAATCCTTTTAGTTTGGGAACCAATGTTCATGGATGTTTTTAAGAATGTTGGTGAAAGTAGAAGATGTCTCACAATCTATTTTCTTCCCATTTTAAAGACTCCTTTATAAATTTGAAATGGAGTCTGAATGCATCTTTTGTTAACAAATATTTTGTTGGAACAAAATCAGTTTTCATTGATTTCATTTAAACTTGTACAAAACACCACACTCCTGAATGCTTGCTTGGGAGAGGAAAGGGTGAGAGAATTGCAAGATTATAAATTCAAAGAAATATGCGTGTACAAAACAAATCCAGGAAAATTTATGGATATAAAATGGGGAAGAACTTGTTCTTAAATGGCTTGAATGGAGCACAATTTGCTGTGTAATATGCCATAGCTCTGTTTATGTATTAAAACCTTTGGAATTTCTTATATTTCAAAAGTTTAACTTTTTTTATATCTGTGACACTACAAAACTGATTAGGATGATCAATGGTCCACAGATAAAAGCATCAACACCTAAACCTAGGCACTAAAGTTCAAATCCCAGCTTGGGCACACATTTTTGTGGTTTGAAACTCACTGAAGTATGTGTTGGGATAGTAAGGTGATCCCTAAGTCAAAGAAGCCATTGCTGACTCCAATAAATTGTGCAGTAAAGTTAGCGTGAAAAAAATGTTAGAAAATGTTTAACTAGTATTTTAATGCTACATGCTTATTATTTGTAACAAAAGTTACAAATGATAAGACAAAGTTTGTGCTATTTTACTCCTAGTTTTGCTTTTATATCAATGATAATTGCTCTTTGGTTTGGCTTCTTTTTTATTTTTCTCCACAAATTTTTAACTTTTTATCCTTTTCAGGTACAAGTCATTCCCTGGTTACTGAGTGACAGCAATTTCATAAAATCTACATCACAGAATTTAGACCCACAGAAAACAGTTTTCGTGGGTGCTTTGCATGGTATGCTAAACGCAGAGGGTCTAGCAAAAATTATGAACGATTTATTTGATGGAGTTGTGTATGCAGGTATTGTTTGATATTTAATTAATAAAAGAAATAGTAATAATGCTTGTGATATTACAGATATTTTATTGTTGTTGCAGTAGTAGTATTAGTAGTAGAAATAATGCCTTTCTTAAACTGTCATTGTCAATTGGTTTTCTCTCAAGCTGAGCTTATACCTGTCCTTGTACATTATACATTCCTACATTGAGATGTTTATATTCTATTCAGCCCTTTTTTTACTCATTTCTTTGTTGATAAATCAATCTTTTCGTGTATTATTCAGAGGTTTAATGACAATCAATTGCAGCCTTTAACTGCTGTTCCCTTTTCAGGCCTCTATTACAATAATACACACAATTGATCACAAATACATCAGTCTTGTAACTTACATAATATATCTTTCTTGTGACAAAATTTAAATACAAGCCATATTTATATAAGAGGGGGAAAATAATGCTTTACACCTGGAAGTAATCATCCATTTATTAGTGCACTTGTAGGAGTAATCCTCCATTAATAGTCACTATTATTATGTTATGCCTCGTCACAGTAAGATGTCAAGAGAACCGCCAGGTAGCATCTCCGCCTACACACCTCCAAGCACGTGCTTCAGTGTCACTACCAGGAGGCCACAAATGGGAAGGAATTAGGATAGGGGTAGGGTTCAGGACACTTCACAAGGGTTGGACTAGCCCTTGTAAAGCAGCCAAACTAGTTTTGTTGGAACAAATATCACATGAGATATTTCGGGAATTGAACCTGGACCTCCTTTGAGAAAGGGAAGCCACTCAAAGCCCAGAGACGACTTCAATGCAATGCTTGCAATTAGATAAGACAATTCAACAAGTTTCAAAAGAAAATGGTCAAAAGCATATCATATGTTGGTATTAAAGTCTGTTCAGGTAGTTCCTGAATGAACCTAGTGTTTCTATCAACACATTTCTTTGGTAGAGTTAGAGAGGTTTATTATAAGGTTTGATAGAAAGGATTTCCTATGACCAACATGGATCCTTTCTTTATAGTTTATATTCATATCCATGCAGTCTGTTAGTTAAATCAGTTAATTTTCTCTTCGTAGTGTAATATAGTGTAGAATCTCTTTTGTTACAGGTATCCTGCAAATTTTCCCCTTTCCTCCCCCATCTTTGTCTTATTTCCTTTGCAAGATGCTTAGCTATCTTTTATGTAGTATGGAGCCCAGCCTCTGAATTCTCAAAGTTGATCTTTCCTCTATACTCCAGGAGACTGCATCTGACCAATTAGCAATTCTAAGTTTGTTTTGTCTCCTCGCATTATGTCAGAGGATTCTAGAGAGTTAAGATGTTGACAGCATGAGTTCCAAAAACAACTTTGATCTCTCTCAAACAATTATTTTTATCTTTATAACAAGAGTATTAATACACCATTAGGTACCTTTATAAAAGGTTATTTATAAGAAATCTATTTTCAGTTGTTTCGTACTTAAGTGTACAAAACTAGTTATGGCTGAAGTTTACTGACGGGAGTATTTGTAACTTTCAAACTTAATTTGAAGAAATATTTTTCCAATTAACACAACTTATGGAATATTGTGAGAAAGGAAGAAATGTTTCCTGTGATGGCATCAATTGAGGCTTGTCTTACAAGGTTCTTTCTTGTTCAGACCCGTACACATCGTTTGTGTAGATCATTGAAAATCTGTGGTAAACTTCTTCTTCTTCTTCTTCTTTTTTTTGCTGGGGGGGTGGGGGGTGGGATGTGTTAAGCATACCGGTATGTCCAGTTACGTCGGACTCTCCAGTGTGGCATACAGACTAAAACCTAACCTAACCTCACCTCGATTCACATGGGCCATGGTATCTTCTGCGCTGGACCGTCATTGAAACATTACTTCACGCAGAAGATTGGCTGAGAGCATGAGCTTTCCTCTTCAGATGGTTGCTATGGTATTTTAGCTCTCTCTGCTTTTAATAGTGACTTTCTGTTTTAGTATGTAAACCACGAAGTCTCGCACTGTTTTCCAGTTGTCTCTGGATTGCAGCATAGTGTGGACTGTGTTTGCAGGCGTTAATTCCTATCGCAATTTGCTGTAGCAGTTTCTTCTTTCTTCTTCCCAAGCTTTGCAGCTATATATGGTGTGCATAGCATCATCGTCTTCTTCATGGCATAGTACACATATCGGGCTTTCAGCAATTTTAAATCTGTATAGATATGCTTGAAAGTTCCCATGCCCTGAGAAGGCTTGCATCAAGTAGAAGTCCATTGTGCCATGGTTCCTGCTGGTCCAATCCTTGATGTTAGGAACAAAGCTGTGTGTCCATCTACCTTTGTACTCCAGGTCCCATAGGTTTTGCCACTGGTGAATTAGATGGTTTCTCAATTCCGCTTTGATATTCTCTATCATGTCATGTCTTCCTCAATCCTATACCCATTAGTGTAGATTATTTTCCTCTCACGGAGGTAGTTCTCCAGGATCCTCACAAGGTATTCAGGGATCTTCCTAGCTACTAGGGCTTGTATTATGCCTCTCCAGCTGGCAGAATTAAGGCATTTTTGATGTCAGTCGCAACCAAGGCACAAAAACTCTGTTCCTTTTTGCTGTTTCTACATGGTGGACTGCTTCTGAGATTGCGCCTATTGTTGAGTCCTTCTAAATCCAAACTGTCTCGTTAAAAATTTGACATGTCTCTTTAGTCGTAGAAGAAGCAAACCCTCCAGTAATCGTATCCAGCAGGTAATAACTCATCGTATCCAACGGGCACAAAGGTCTCAACAATGAAGTCCGATCAATTGACTTGTTACCTTTCCGCATGAGAATTAGCTTTGATGTTTCCAACCCATATAGAATTTCTCTTGTTCAAGACGCTGGTTAAAGGCTTTCAGAAGGCATTCTGGGTATTCTTTTACCACTATCCCCAGGATGACGTTGAGAATTCCATCAGGTCCCGGTGCAGTTCTAATCTTGGTAGTCTTCATCATCTGGACTAGTTCGTCCTTCGTGAAGTGGTTGGCTTTGTCGAAGAGGTAGTCAGAAGGTCTGATTCTTACCCAGCATTCTCTACTAGGGAAAAGGTTTTTGATAATTGCCTTCACATTCGGGATCTTCTAGCCCTGCGGTTGTTGAAGGTTTAAATTTGCCCATAACAATCTTATCAGCTTTTCACCAGGGGTCGTTGTTCACATCGCTTAATAGGACCTTCCAGCATTTTGTTTTGCTTCTTTTATGTCGGTTTCTGCTCTCGTTGCAAATCTTCTAGCTTTAACACATGCTTGACAAAGCTCTGCAATAGCCACTGTCCATCAGTGCACCTGATTTTTCCCCTTGGGGCTCCTATGTCTGGGCGTTGAGATGTCACACGCATTTTTAATGGTTTCGTGTGTTTCCCGTACTACCTCTTCAAATGACTCTGCATGATGGACCGATATTTGGCTGATTCCTTCTTCTAGCTCTGTTTCCAGTGGAGAAAGTGGAGAATTCAATGTAGCAGTGGTCACTAAGTGTTTCAGCGTCAAGAACCTGCCCATCCAGGACATTCTTTGCAATCCTTGCAGTTCGTGTTGTTAAGTCTCTTATCGAAGAAGCTGTGCCCATTTGAAATGTACATGAGCTCCCTGTGTTTAGGACTACTTCCATCCTAGCCAGGAATTCGCAAACAATATCGCCTCTGCGATCAGTTCTGCTTTCGCCCCATTCTGGGGCCTTGCTGTTAGTCTCCAGCCAATACTATTTCACCTGGGGCTGAATTCATGCTTGCCTCCAGTTCATCGATTTGCTTCTTAAATTTCTCTATTCAGTCGTTTGGGGAGAAATGGCAACTATATATTCTAAGGCCATTTCTACCCATACAAAACCTTGGTTTGTAACTTTAAATTTAGAAACTCTTATTTTGGAGTTAAGTATTATAATTCCTGCAAGTCTGGTCGTGTCCTGGTAGAGGGATATGTCATAAAGATCGTGCTGCTCACTGACCAGTAAGGCATCCACCGGTCTTTCCCTTGCCGTTTAAATGAGATCTTGGGAAGTTTTTCCTTTGCCTAAATTATTTTGAAGGAACCTAGGCTTTCTTTGTTTTACATTTTTCTTAATTCTGCAGTGAAGGAAGGGCATTTATAGCTACCCAGCTTATGATTGTCTTCAAGATTTTGGTCTTTGCAGACAATACATTGAACTGGTCCTGCAGTCCTTGGCCAAGTGTCCCTTTTTGCCACATTTGTAGCATACTTCACTTCTGTCGTGGCCCTTGCAAGAGGTGGAAATATAGCCAAAGCCTAGACATTTAAAGCATTTGCTGACCTGGTGCTTCAAACGTGGCAAGTAAGCCAGCCATTCTCAAAATTCTCTGCTTTGAGAAGAATTTCTGCCTGGCGCGAAGGGAACAGTGCAGTTGCTACCTGTCTGCCTACGTACACCTTGTATAGTCTCCAGATCGACTTGGGAAGTCCCCCTTAATGTGTGTGACAGCATCTCTTACCTCATCTAGGGTAACAGATTCGTCAATGTTCCTTAATTCAATTAAGGCTTTTTGTTAAACGTGTTGATGTTTACAGTCTCCTATTGCAATTGTTGTTTTTTCCCTTAACTCGCCTAAAAATTAATTTTATTTATTTTTCATGTGATGCATTAGCTACATTTTGTTTCTTTTTCAACTCTCAAATAAATTTTGTATTTCCTAACCTTCTGCCAAAGCCTCACAGGCTAACACATGTAAATTTTCAATTTTTAAAAAAATTATTGATTATTAATTATAAATAACCTTTGTAATAAATATAATTTAAATTCATTGTTACTTCGTATAATCATCTTTTTTGACTATTCAAAATTTTCTTTAGTATATATTTAGACATGATTGAGTTCCTTATAAATTAATTATATTATTCAGTATTCATGTTGATTGGTTTCGTTGATTCAACTATATTCAGGTATAATACATTGTGTATCAAGAAAATAACAATTAGCATTGTATAAAATTTGCCACAATTCAAACAATATTTTGTCATACTGATTCTTTATGCAGTCTTAAGTCTTTCCTTACTTTTAGTACCTAAAGCCAAATGACATCCATATTTGAGCTAGGAAGATACATATTTTGATGGATCAAATAGATGAAGAGGAAGGCCATTCATATTTGAAAATAATAAACTGGATACTGTTTCCATTTTTAAAGGTGTTCTGAATGTGGTTATAATTAAATTCATTTGCAAGAATTCCCTCTTGCTTTCACTGGACTGATTTTATAGAAATTTTGACTTGAAGTAGGTTGTTTGGGAATGTCTTAGAGTATATATCTTCAAAGCATGTAATTAATTGTCTCATTCAGTTTAAATCTGATAGTAAGCTTTTTCATTTCACGTTCTCCGTAATTGTTGGATGTTTCAGGGTCAGTGTTTCATTTCCATCACTTTTGCTAAAGTAAAGAGTTCTTGAACATGTTCACCAAGCAGAGTTGTTTCAATTGATTGTTTTAATTCTTCATAAAATATGATAAGATTCACAGGACCATTGTTGATGTCCTTTATTTTTGTGAAGAGGCCGTGATGCGCAATTGTAAATAAGAAGTCAGGAATTTTTCCTTTAACAATGCTCCAACACCATTCTTTTTCCCAATCATTATATTTGCACCATTACATTTTAATTCTTTTCCAAAATTGAGTTTGTCATTCAGTAAGTGACTAAATTTCATTACAAAATCAAGCACATCTTTGGGAGTTACATTATTAAGCTCTTCAACAGGTCTGAGAATAAATCAAGAGGAGTATCTATGCCTTCTTTTGATATTCAGAATTGTATGAATAAAATTAGGGTGGAGTTTTTACTCAAGGCAATTGATTCATCAAGAATTGATCAAATTTTAATATCTGCATTAATCCAGTTTTTGTATTCAGTGCCAGAGCAAGACAACTTTAAGCCTGTGGCAATGCTGAATCATTGTCCATGCGTGCGCACAAAGTAAAGGAGATAAAGGAAGGGAGGGAGGGAATTAAATATGTGAAATTGTACCAAGAAACTGTGTTATTCTATTTCAACAAATAACAAAAATTACATTTAAGCTATAAAAAGGTTTGAAAATATAGTTAAACCCAAAGTTTTAATTAAAAGTATTTAGTAATCAAATAAAATTTCTACATTGAGTGTAAAATACTAAAAAAAAAAAGTGTTCAGTTGGTGTTTAATGAATTTACTTGAAACATGAAATAGTAAATATGAATTTCAGTAGAATCTATTTTAGTTTTACATTTTATTACATACACTTTTCAATTTCATAGATACATACTTATGTAAATGTAACTCCTTATGTGAACCATAAGTCTTTAATTTTTCCAGCAGTTTTCTAGTCAATTAGACATTTTGTAATTTTATTTTGGCTAAATAGTAAGAATTAGTTTTAATTTAAAATTTAAAAAAAATTTAAATTAATTTAAAAAAATCTGAGTAGGCGTCTTCAAAATCAGGGGGTTGTATTATATTTGAGGTACACTTATATTCGGGTAAATACAGTACATACAATTGAATTGGATTCTACACCAAAATGAATTTCTGTAATAGCATTAAATTAAAGCTGTGCAATTTAAGCAGATTAGAAATTTACTTAAATAAAATACAAGTTGCTTGCCATCAGTTACTCAAATATTGACGTAATAACAAGAACCACACAGAATTACATTTCTCATTCAAAGAATTTAACGGCTTTTTAGAGTGGAACCTTGTTTGTACATTTGACATTCATCTAATTGGTTCATCTAAAAATCACTTGCAAAGTTTTTTGGCTCATTGTGCTTTACTTTCTCACACGTACATCCTAAGAGGAAAAAGTTGTAATCATATACTGGAACACGAGAAACTCTTTCTACACAATTCCATATACAGAAAGATACTGTTCTGATACATTCCCCCTGAAATCAAGTCCTGACTAAATCAATACATGCTTCTCTGTTGCAATTTCTGAGGTGGTTCCTATGACACTGGACGAGGGGAAAGTGGCATCCATTCTCTGTAAGAAAAGAACCACCTTCATTTTGGTAAAAAGTGCTCATTGCTAGTGCAGTGATATATATTTCAAGTAAGATAATTTATAATGAATAATAGATGTCTTAGTAAAACTGTTAAGACAAGGAATTGACGACTGGTATTTGAATTTTAATGTAAATTAAAATTCTTGAATATTGTTAAATTGAAGGTCACTATTACTTCCATATAATACCAATAAGTACGTGTATGTACTTTTTAATAAATTCATTTCAAATGAAATAGTGGTGATTCCCAAACCAATCGGTAGAATGAGCCTCCATGAATAAGTGATTCCCAGACATCCCATAAATTCCTTTCCAACTTTTACCACATCATGTTTTTCAAGGTTTTATGAAAGCATTGCAAAACCTTGTGTATAGTACTTACTAGTTACATCTTCTAGTATTTAAGTTATTTTGCTTTGGTAACCACATACATTTTGGTAATTGAGAATGATAATTTATGTAATTAACACTTTTTGTTGAGTAGTTTGAATTACTCATGTAATGTTTAACATTTGCAGGGTGGCTGAATATGTTGATAAATTATTGTTCTTTAATGATTATTTGTGTAATTCTATATAACAAAAATGTTATTTATCCACATATGTCTCATAACCTGAATTTCAATTCACTCTACTTGTTAATAAGCTATTTATTATTTACCTGATGGAGACACAATAGAGCTCCGAAACATAGTATTTTCAACTCTTTGTGAAATAAACTATATTTATGAACTGTTAATTTTATTTCAAATTAACTGATTGGCTATAATAAAGTGGAACCTTATTAATAGAATGTATTATAGACAATCAATAGCATTGTTAAAAAATATTAGGGATTTCAAGATCATGGTTATTATATTAGTTATTCCTGATTGCAACATGGAATAAACTTGTGATGAAGATTAATATGATTCTGGATATATATATATTAAAAACACACACACACACACACACCTCTGGTAATAGTCAGAAGTGTTAAGTCTTTTGCATTTTCAGAAAAATAGGTTTTTTCTTTTTTCCTTTTTCTTTCTTTCTTTTTTTTTTTTTTAATTCATGCAATAAATAGTTTTCTCTTTTAATAAATAAGGTATATTTATTAATGTATAAAGGAGATATCAGAGCTCTGTTGGTTACCTTGTGTGTGTTCAAAACTGTACTTTTTTGTTTTTAAGATAAATAATTTGTTGTGTTTAAAATAAGTTTTACTTTGTTTCAGGAATTGATACTGATAAATATAAGTATCCTATTGGTTCAGGTCGAGTTACTTTTAACAACTCGCGTTCATATTTGAGAGCTGTTGCAGCTGCTTTTATTGAAATAAAAACAATGAAGTTTACAAAAAAGGTATATTTCACCTTAATAATTATAATTTTTTATATCCCCTGCATGCTAGTTCAGTTATTGGCCAAGAATGTAAATTACTAAGGTTTTCAGGGGAATAATATTTATGTAACAAGTCCTCCTTAAAGATGATGTTTTACATACAATACTTTTTTTAGTTCTAGTTATTCAAAATAAATATTTAACACTTTCATGAGTCAATTGTCATTACGCTCCATCTTCTGTAGTAAGAGTTGTTGGTTCAGGGTCTTAGAACAGTTTTTAAGTATCAATTACAGTGTGTGGATGGACCAAAAGGACAAAGATGACAAGTGTGACAAAGAGGAAAGTAGGATAAAGATGGCAAGGGGCAAAATGGACAAATTTAGAAAAGGGGAGAAATGGACACGGCGGCAAGGGAGACAAAAGGGACATACTGTTCCAAAAATTTATGAGCACTGGTCAAATCTAAACCCCAGTCTTCTGAAATATTTGTAATGGACTCGTGAGCATTTTAATAGCTATTGCTATGGACACTCTTAAAGCATTATTTAGTTTTGTTGCTAAGGAGCTAAGTTTGTTTACTAACGTAAATAAATAATTTCAAGAGGTGGAGTGAATGGATACAGTGTAAAATTAGCTGAAATTATAGAAATAAGTTTGTGTACTAGGTTATTAGAATAAAGTTCAGCAATTCAATATAATTTCAAATTCTAGAGCATAAGAATAATTGAGGCAGACTGTGAGAGGGAAAAATTTGCAAATGAAAATGTTAAAAAAATTTCTTTAAAATTTCAATTCTTTCCTAGGAATCGTAAAAGGATCAAAACTCGATAAGAAATACTGTAAAACTCTGTTTATACATTTCTCACTTATTCAATTTTCACGTTCATAGGTTATTTTCTGCAAGCCTATACTTCCCATGCTATATTATTTCAGATAGCATGATAAAAATTTGTGCATATAAAGGAAATATTGAAACTTACGGAAATCAAAGATTTAATGACATTTAGGCCTGTTTCACATGAGCATTGCATTGGCGCACATAGATTCCTGTGCACAGGAGTCGCTTCACTCTCATTGTTGATTAACTATCTTGTGCAAAATGGCATTCGAGTGCACTAGATAACTTGTATTGTTTCCAATTGCGCTGATGAGACTTTTCCCCCATACATTACGTACAATTTTTACTGTTCTTTGACTGAATAAGTCAAAAGTAAGGTTGGTAGCAGTTCCTGCGAGGAGGTCCAAGAGTCCAGAGAGCGCTAATGATAAAATTGACTTTTTGTTTTGCTCATAATATTGAATTTTGTTTGCATGTTCTTCTTCTACATTTTTTTCCCTTCAGTCCCCTGAAAAACACGAATAAAGTTATACTGTAGTTGGAGTGGCAGGGAAGGTGATGTGAAATAGTGACACACTATTAACATGTGTGTAAATTTGTATAAACATGAATACATTATTATGTATCTAAATAATATCCTTTATGAAAAAGTGTAGAGTTCAGAAGTATATTTTTGGATGAGTTCTGCATAGTGTTGTTGTTCAGAACATTAGTATTTACTATTATAATTATTGTTGTTATTATTATTTATTATTATTATTTTGCAGGTTCAAGTCGATCCTTACTTAGAAGATTCTTTGTGTTCAGCTTGCAATGTTCAACAAGGTCCTTATTTTTGTCGTGAACTGGTGTGCTTCCGTTACTACTGCCACAGCTGCTGGCATTGGCATCATTCGCTAGATTCTATGCAAAGTCATAAACCTATGATGAGGAATGCTAAAGGTGTTGGCAACAGTGGAAGTGGCAGTGGTGGTCTTATGTTGGTTTCAAATCATAGCAGGTCTGGCAATTAGATCTGACACCTTTATTCTCCCTCCTGCCATGATTCTGCTAATGCTACCACTTCCATCAGCACTGTACTGCTGTTGCTGACGTAATGTTTAACTCTTTAGCAATTGCAATCAGCATTGCAGTTTCCATTTTATAAATGAAAAATTGTGATTATTTATCAACATAAAGGCAGGGCAAAGGCATAGTTGCAGACTTGAATCTTAATTGTATCCATGTTTGTACTTCTGTGCCAATTTTTTTTTATTTTTAATGCTGAAAGACTGAAAATGTGTGACAAACGTCATTTGAAAGAGATCTTCACCAAAGTATTTATTCTTCTCAGCACCTTTATGCACTGAGATTGCCTTTGACAAAGGTTGTACAAGACTAGTGATTAAAAGTTACGCCTCCTTGATTCTAATGGAGAAACGGTGATAAGAAATCTAGGTTTTACATGTATTATATAAAAAATTTAATTTGAAAATGCAACAGTCAGAGTTGGTTCTTAGCTCTTAGTACATAAATTATTTTTAGTCATTGCGTGTTGTTTTTAATTGCAAAATGGAGATGCTCCAGTGCAGTAAAGGTGTAATACTTCTTGTCTGTGGATGGTGCTTGACAAGTGTAATTGCTGATGCAAGAACACTTCTCATCCTCTTAAAACATACTTTGGTGATATGACCAACATAACTTAAGACATTGGTGCTAGTGTACGTGTAAGAAGTTCTGTTGTACTATGCTTGTATAATCATGTTCCTGTAATCTTAAAGTTTTATGTAGTATTGAATTTTCTGTGATCTTCTGCAGCTGTTTTAACTTGAGGCAGAAAACAGGGTAGGAGGGAGTCTAGTCTCACTGGGCCATGTTAAATCATTAGATTTTTAAAATCAGTTTTATTTTATGTTTGGGGAGGCATTCTAAAGTTGCTTTATCTCCCCAGTACGTTGATCTGCCCAATAGAAGGCTTCTAAGTGTTCTGATGATCAGTATTGTAGCCATTATGTTTTCTTTTTATTTTGTTTTTCTCTCAAGGTTTGAGAGTTTCTTTATCAAGAATTTTCGATGTGAAAACTATAGTATATATATAGTTCCTACTCGTAAACCAAAGAACCATTTGGTTTGCATTATTTATTTTCTCCGGAGTATTGATGGTTTCTGTGGTTTGTGTGAAACATTTATCAAATATGTTTTTATAAATTACACACTTTTATGATTTAGGTGTTCATCCTACCTATATTTTAGACATAGTATTGTTTTATCAAGTCACTCCACTCATGATGACGAAATGGATATGTTTAAAGGACTAAAGAGATTCTTGGAAAATATTGAGAGATTGGTGCAATTAAAAGCTTTATTTGATTACATTATTTCATTTATGAATATATTATGTATTTATCTTTTTGTATATGTATGTTTATATAAGAAACATCCTGAACCTTGCCCCTAACCCGTTTTTTCTTGTGAATTCTGGTATTTTGGTGAAAGTTGATATGCACAAGCACCACTTTTTACAATGCACTTTTAATCAAATACAGTTGAATCTTAATTGAGGATGCCTTACAATAGAAATCAAGTCATTGTTCTTGAAATTATACAGAAGCTTGAAAATGAAGTAAGATGTCTGTTGAATAATGGTTGTAGATACCAGGAAAAAGTTATGTTTGTCATAACAATAAATATTTATAATGTGTATTGTAAACTGATACTGGAGAACCATTACTACTTTAGATTTTAATTTATGTAATAAAAATAATCATATTGTAACGCAGTAAATTGTGGAGAGAATCTTACAAGGGTTTTGGATATAATAGTATTTCATGAAATGTTTCTCCTTGCAAGTTGAAACTTACTTTTTTAGGGGTTCTAATAAAAGGGATAGTTTTTGACTGGCCTTAATAAAGTTATTTTAGACGTGTATAGCACTCAAGAACAGGGTACAACCAGTTTTTATTTGTTTCATTCCTAATGAACATTTAATTTCTTTTTTATATTTTTAATTTTTGTGTTGACTTGTAGTCATTTTTAGCATTAGTGTCTTTTAAGTGCATCTAAGCTAGTTTTCAAGCAAGTAGCTTGAAAAGGTTTCTTTTGTGTTAAAAAGATTGGTTTATTTGGGCTAGAACGTTATATTTGTATTTATTGTTCAATGTCTAGTACTTTTAGTTCTGAAAATATCTGAAGTTATTAGTGCACATTATGATAATGTACACACTATTTTATTGTTTTAAATCTTATTTTGCTATTTTTCCAACTTACAAAATTTCAGGCTTCACCATTTCATAATATATCCCAAATCCATTAGAGTACCTTGTAATGTTTGTATGTTAAATAGGCTAAAAGTTCAGTCAATTAACATTCTTTAAATTTCTCATTGATAAACTATGCAGGAAATGAATTTTACATTTGTGATAAAATTTAGAACATTGCAATATGCCTTTAACCAGTGTTTTTAGAGGCCTCTGTATCTCAGGGCATAATTGTAAAAAAACAAACAAAAAAAATGAAAATTAGTGAAAATTTTAATAGTAAATATCTTATTTATTGAAAATCAGGTTATTGCAAAGTTCCTTTTGCAAGTTTGATTTCATTGAAGGTCATACCAGAGAGACTGAAGTATTTACATGGGGATTACATTTTACATAAACGTATCATTTTTTTGTGCAATTCATAGAAAAAGAGGGTTGGTTGGCATTTGTGGAGAGAAGTGGAAAATTTTTAACTTGTTTAAATGTTGTTGGTTTATATTTATTGCATTTAAAGTTAGCATGATGTGTAAGATATCTTAAAGCACTACTTTGCTTTATTTTCAATGGTTCTTTAAGGTGGCATTGAAAATAAGTGAAATGACAACCTTTGACAATATTGGCAAAGAGCAAACTCTAAAAAAAATCATATTTCATGCTTCAAAGATATTAAGTTGGCAGTGCCTTGCTCTGTCATGTAACTATGATGTGTACCTTTTTTTTTTTTTTTTCTTCAGGGAAGTGCCTTCAGTGATGTATACACTGTAGAGAAAAAATAAAATACTGTTTAATTATTTGCACTCATCGTGAAGGGGAAAATGTTAACAATTTTATAGATATTTGTTGGTTGCTGTTAAGGATCAATAGTAAATATTATTTTTCATTCATTTTTTGTTGAGTAGTTTCAGAAAGCTTATGAAAATGGATTGAAGGCAATGTAAGATTAGCATAGATGGATAAATTGGACTTCGTCCTATGTCCTACACCATTCATAGCACTAGTTGACAGCCTTATGACTCAACTTGTCTAGCCAATGATGTTATGCATGTATTTCTCTTGATAGTCAATGACAGCTCTGCTGCAGGGAGTCATTAATATTACATTATGGAATTCTGAATGTTTTGGTTGCAAAATACTATATGCTGCTTAAGAGTGTGTGTGTGTGTACTATGAGCGGTGATAATGATGTGTTTAGACTATTTTATGGTGCAACCTGATATTAGCTTTACCATTGAAAATGGCATGTTTTAGATCCAAAAAAGTGTAAAACTGCAACACTTGTATTTATAACTTAAGAGGGAGGAAAGAATCATGATACATTTTAGTTACATTGTGTACATTCTTTCTTACTATAGCATGTGACTATTCTAAAGTCTATCTGGTTTTTAACTTAGCAAATTATTGACTATGAGTAAAAGTACATTCTTCTATTGAAACAAAAAATCTTATATGAGAGTTTATGATTTCTCATAAGAGTAGGTGTGTGGAAGGCGGAGTTGAATTTTAAGATTTCTCAGATATTAACCCTGCCAAAATAAAACCTGTATTATCATTATATTAATTCATAAACAGTAACTGTAATTTTGTCTTCTTAGCAATCTGCCACTTCAACCTTTTAATACCTACTAGCATGACATTTTAAATGATTTAGATATGACCAAAATATATTGTTCTACATATATTTGGTAAACTTTTAATACCAGAGGTGCCACCTCCACTATTTTCAACTTTCTGATGGGGCCACGTATAATTACATATTAACAGTGATGTGATGTGAAAGCAAACCATTTTTTTCTTTTTCTTGATTTTAGTAGTATTTATATTCCGTTCATTAGCTATTATATTATTCAGTAATGAAAATTATGATTTTCACTGTTTGCTATTTGGTAGAATTAGCTGGGAATGGCACCCTTTTTGAGGCTGAGGACTGTCTCCTGTTGAGAGAAGATGGTGCTGAAAAACTTGAGGATCACAATTTTTGAAAATATTGAACAATTCAGTATTTTAATATTGAAGTGGAATTGTGTACAATTGGTCAGCAGTTTACTACTCGCTATTATGAGTATGAGAATGTTCTCCCTCTACATTTGAAGCACATTTTAACATTTGAATTGTATGTTTTAATTATGTAATGATAATAAAAGACTGTGATGTATTACAACTCTAAAAACTTGTTGCATTTCTCCTGAAAGAACCTACTAAACACAATCATTGACTCAACTCTTTTTAGTGTTGTTCAGTGGCATCTTCTGAAAAATCAGGAAGGGGATCTGATAAAAATAGTAGATACATATATTATTATTTATGCAATCTGGTAACAGAACACTACAATTTACATATTACAATTAATATGATTAAACTTAAAATTAATTTAAAACAACAACAATAATAATATGATAACAATAAAAGCAGTAACTCCACATTTTATGTCTGTATTGCACAGATAAAATAAATATACGACACTTTAATTACACTTCCACTTCTCTTTCTACTTCTCTATTGCGCTACACTTCACAACACGTTACCACACTTCAATACAAATACCACTTTGAATATAATTATATATTTAATAAATCATTGCATTTAATAGTAATTATCACATTACATATAGTAACGTGAACAACAATAATAATAATATAACTGTTTTAATAAGCTTAACTTACTAATTAACAAAGTTTACAAATATCATTGGTTAGATTACGTTTAAATTTATTAACACCTAGAGGAAAGGGTTCCAAGGCTGTTGCAACTTATTCTAGTTCGTTATTGTTCTATTTGTAAAGAAAAATTTTCCAACATATATTCTCTGTGGCCTCAACTGAATTTTGTGCTTGTTATCCCCTCTACTGAAGTGTGTGGGTCTACTTAGTCGTATGTAGATAACTTTCCAAGATGGATAAACAGCATATGCTTTGTAGTGTAACCCATCGAGTCTTGTGGCTGGAACGGGAATTTCAATAATAATAGACATAACATTTGCATTAATAAACATTTACTCACTAAAATGATGGTGATGATTTACATTAATTACAATAATAAAAAAACGACCCTTTCTTTTATTTGAACATTAGCCATCTACTAAATTAATTACAAAAAAACAATGGGTCGTCATAAATACTTGTGCTGAAGGCACCCTCTCTACCCCCCCCCCTCCTGCTTCGTACAGCATGTGTTCGACCGCATTTATGCGGGAGCTAAGCGGATTATTACCCTCGTTTTCTGTCGGCGGGCTCACAGCACGTCCGGTGGTGGAGTCGTCGGCCTGCGTTCTGAAGCGGGCCGCCCCCTTCCAGGCAGAGGCGGTGAACACAGGGGGCTCCCAGCGTGACCGTCTGATGTCGCCGCGCTTCCTGGAGCCCACTACTTCAACCAGCGTCACCAACCTCATGCAGCAACGATGTTTATCGGCGATGATTGATTGGAGGCCAATCAACTTCCGTATCAGCAGTCGCGGACGATTGTCATAACGCGGTTGGCTCTAGGCGCGAGACTGCATCCCTTTTCGCCAGAATTTCTGACAGTGTGCGCGAAGGGTCAACTTCCCTCCGTAAGAGGCTTCGAATGCTACGTGAGGTCAAGTGAGCAAGCGAAGTGAAGTTAATAACTTGAGTTTCAGTCAATGCCTTACTCAACTGAAGTGAATACTCGGACCCAAGTTAAAAAAAAAAAATCAGGTGATAGAATTTTTATCCGGGTTGACTTTGTGAAAATTTTGAGTAGTTTCATTTTCTCCAGTACAGGGTACCAGTCTGTAGCTGGATAAGACAAGTGATGGGGCTGCCATCTTCCGTCCTCTTGCCTTGCCCGTTTTCTGTTAGGGCATTGTCCCTTAGCTGGTAAGTTCGAGATTTAAAGCGCCCGAAACTCGCTTTTCATCCTCGCTCGTTTGCTACATGATGCACTCACATGTACATCTATGCACCCAGGGGTCACGGCGTGGACGTGACAGTAGGATTTGTTGGCATTCGATCTTTCGAATGTCTGACTCATGTCAGAAGTCAGTGGGCATTTCTTGGGCAAGTTTTATTACTGAGTGGGCACCAGTAACCCACGCATCCAAGACCCTTACCAACCTTTGACCCCCTACATTATTATTGTTTTATAAATAATGAAGAGCTTGGCAGTAATGTTTCACGAAATATCTTTTTCATTTCTTTCTATCCGTCTTTTTTTAAATAATAGTTATTGTTAGGTTGCTGTTAATAAATAGATAAATCAGCCATAATCGTTATGAGTCGGGAGGCATCTGCACCTGCGGTGATGGTGGGGGTGGCGGCGATGGAGCCCCAACATCTTTAGTATTAGTTTTGTTTCCTCTTCATACCGAACTGATTCGCCTGAAGAGACGTTTCGTTTCATGTACATGTACCCTGCCCACCCCAAACACCCTGTGCAGCGCAAAAATATTCTGGCGTGTGAGCCGGGTACCTGCTCACTTAAGCCCTTGAGTGGGAAAATCAAAGAGGTCCTGTATTACCGGACAAAGTCGCTGGAGGGTCGGCGAAGAGCCCTGATGATTTACCGTCGCGCGCTGCTGTGGCGGCGTGGGCAAGCGGCCTTAGGGCCCCTTCCCACGGCGCGGCCGCGGCGCGCTTCGCAGCAGCGCGGCGCGTAGCAGAGCATTGGTTTGAATGGAGGCCTTCCCACGGCAGCGGGTGGCGGCTGCTGCGGCAGCCGACGCCGAACTCCAGCTAGCGAAGCGAGAGGGGGCCACGCGCCACCTCCTAGCAGAACAAGCTTTAAATGGAAGCGTTCCACTGCGCGCGGCCGCAGCGTTATACCTGCTCCGGTCCCTTTGTTCGTCGTGCCCGGAGGGTCGGCGAAACCTACCCTCCAGACTCCACCCTTCCACGGCAGGCGGCGGTGCGGCCGTGGCTCCGGCGGTGGCTGCGTCGGAAGTGCTCTGCTCCTTGAACGAAGCGCGCCGTGGGAAGGCGGCCTTAAGTGTAAGTCAGTTCAGTTCAGTAAAGTTCAAGTTAGATTTAACCGGACGTTATTCGAATTCGACGTTATTAGACGAAATTCGTATTAAGAGCATCGGTTAAAGATAAACTGGAGGTTTACCTGAAGGTTAAGTTAACCGGAGGTGGATATAAGGGTTACTGAGTTAACTGCTGGTTAGGTAAAATGGCGAATGTAATAATAGTGGAAACTGATTCAGAAGACGAAATGCTGTTGGAATATTTCGTTAATACCAGACGGCTCAATCGTTTGCCGCCCAGACGGGATAATTTCGAAGAGTGAGACAGCGACAATTTTTTCGCACGTTTCAGGATTACGAAACAAACTGCTTTATTCGTATTGCAACAGATTGAAGATGAACTGGAATACGTTACAAACGGGTATGAGCATGTATATAATAAATCATTAATAGCATTAGATATAGTACGTTCTCTCTGTATGTAGATGTAGAAAATTTCCTTAGCATTCTCTCTGAATTTTTGAAATAATGTTATGTTGTAACCTCCTAAGCTGTAAGGCATTGAAATGATATATTATTGAATTTGACATGTTTTATATTACTGCCTTATCTTTGTGGATAATACTAAAATTAAATAATATTCATTAGAATATTCTTGGCTTACTTTTAACCACATTTGAAAGTTAAATGAATATTATGTAAATTAAATATTAAATGTTATGTATTCCCAACCTGGTGTAAGTTCAATGTCCCTTCAATGTGCAAACCGTTCCAAGCCAGGGCTTGCGCATTAAAAATTATTTGCATGGTGGCCTGGATCAAGCCACGATGTTACAATATACAGAAACTCTGAAATTAAGGCTCGGGTGGAGAGAGGGGATTTTTTGAACGGGGTGCTGCTTGGCGACGCACGATATCCTTCGGGAGCAACATCGTTGACACCTCCTCGCAACCCTCGTTTACCAGAGGAAAATTTGTATAATGATCGCACATTAGGTCACGCAACACTGTGGAAAGACTATACGGTGTTTGGAAAGTAAGATTCCCTCTTTTGGCACTAGGAATAAGGCAAGATACTTCACTAGTGCAGCCTATAATTGTGACATGTGCTGTAATTGCCATCGTGAGGAAGGAAGCAGATCCTCCACCTGTTCCGGGAATGGATCAAGAATAATTGCAATTGGCAGTTCAAGAAGGGCAGATAACTCCTGCCATAAATTTAGAAGTGCCACAAAGGGAAGCAGTTCGGGAAACTTTTGTGAGTTAATGCTAAACATTAATTTATGGTTAAATTATATTTAAAAAATAAAATTTACAAATGTTAAAAAAATATTTTGTTGCCTCTCCTCTTCCACGTTCATTTCTATAAGTTTTCTCTTTGCTCTTATTAAACGAAGTTCTTCTTCTTTAATCTTCATGTTAAACCAATGAAGCTTTCTCTCGCTCCTGCTTTGCTTCAAATTCCTTCTGCAGAAATGCCACTTCAGTCCTTGCAGAAGCCCAGGAGTGCAACTTCTGCCCACTTGCAGAAGGAATAATTGTAGTGTCGCACATCTAATGCACTGAATAATGCTACAGAAGCACATTTACGTTCTTACGTTCGACTTCTCACATTTGCTGTCTAAAGGCCCATTCACAAAGCAAACATAAGCATGGCGTTAACATAAAAGTTAACGACTTATGTTAAAAAGTTAACGAAGTTATGGACTACGTCTATAAGCGGACTCAATCACAATGCGTTCGCACAAACATAGCACGTAAGACGTTAACTTAAAAGCTTGCAAACTTCTGTGCTTATGCTTAAGTACGACATAAGAAATGAACCAAACACAGTACGGTAACTCAAAATCGAGAATCGAAATTGGAGCGAAGTCGATAAAAGAACTAACGCCATATGGGCCATGGACATAGTCGATACTTGGAAATCGATTCTCACATCGAACCAATAGTACCCCAGAATGCCTTACAGCCAATAGAAACTCTTATTTTGCTTACATTTATGTTAGACATTGTGAAAACTTCAGTCTATCGCTTATGTTAATGTTTATGTCTGTGCGCTATGCTTATGTTTACGTTTGTATTTTAAATGGGCCTTAAGGCGCGGAAATACCGATTTTCAAATGAAAGTGAGTAACAACTTATTCTTATTGAAACGTAACTAACACCTTATTCACATAAGCAAACAAAACAGTCGCTTTTTAATGTTTGCATAGGTTAACCAAAAAAAGGATAAATAGAGCAAATGCAGAAGTAGAAGTGAACCAATTAGAATGATTTTGTGGAGTTTTA